CTCTCAGCATATATTTGAAATTCTATGCTGACTTAAGAGGAAAATCTAAACGCTCCACTGGCAAAAAGAAGTCAGCATTTATCAATGGCAGTGGAATTGCTAGAAACTGGGTCAGAAACCAGGAGAAGCCTGGCCTTAGTTTCATGATTTTACAGGGAAGCAACGGAAAGCAAAGAAGTGTCACACTGGGGCTGATTAAACTGTAGAACAACTTACAGCCCTGTGGCCTAGGGCTTCCTAAAAGATAACAGAGGCTTAGTCAGCTACAGGGAAGAAAAACAAGAGGTAGATTATTTAATAGCATGTATATTTTAATAAAGTTAATATTGTTATATTTCTGTGCGGTGTCGTAGTTTTTTCAATTTTTTCCAATTCTGTGGGTTTTTTAAAATTTTTACTTTTCATTAGCTCACATTTGCAGTAAATAATGACATTGTTCTTTCTATAGGAAGGGAGGTAAACTTCAAAAGTCACGAAATAAAATTTGAAATTATTATTTTAATAAATTAAAACATCAAAAATAAAAAGAACAAAAGCCTAACTTTCACACTGAGAAAATCAGCTGAATGCCTTATATTCTTCAAGGACTGACAGGATAGCTCCCGCAGAGGTAATTCTCCTTTCCCTCACTGAAATTTAGCCTTTGAAATTTAATTCCCCAAAACCTCAAAGGCCTTTGGTTTCTAGTGTAAATAGGGGCGAGGGTGGTGATCTAAAGACAGCTCCCACCACGGCCTGTGGGAGAGGGCGGCCTTTCAAGGCAGCAGGAGAATTGAGAGTGGAAAGTGAGGTCAGAGCCCTCAAGCAGGAAGGCCTGGGAGGGGTGGGAACAGCCCCCAGCTGCTCTAGTGGCACTGAGAGGTACACTCCCAAGCAGTCAGAACAGCAGGGAGCGGGCAGAAGCCCTGCAAGATGCTAGGGGAGAAGGGCAGATTGTGTGTAACGTGTGGGCTAAGCAGGACACCCATCAGAGGAGTCCAGATCTCCCACTCAGCACCTCAGCCTTCCCAGCCTCTTTGGAATTTCACAAACTCATCATCTCAAAGATTTTGTTTCTGTAGTTATAAAAAAAAAAAAAAGCAGCAGCTCCCCACAGTGGGGTGACTGACTGCCCCCAGGAGTTTCCAGCATAACCACGGCTGGTATACCCTTCTCTGCACCCACCCTATCTTGCCAGGGTCAACATGAAAACAGACTGGTCACCGGTGAATTACCACTTCAGGAAAAGAAGAGCATTTTTCTTCCAAGAAAACATTTATGAAACCACCACACAAAAAACATTTCAGGAGACAAAATGTCGTGTACTGCTTTGAACTAAGTTGTCTAAGCACATGAAGCTCTTCCTCATCACAAACCACCTTCCACCAGCCCTGAGACATTCTGACCATTTCACTGCCTTTCAGGGAAATCTCCATTGTTCAAAAACTAAGTGTGAAGGCTAAATAACTCCCAACCTGTCAGATATCAGAAGTGTCAAGTTCGTGGTCTCACAACAAGGAATGAAGTCAGGAACCAAAGGAGGAAATAAGAGAGTTTTATTGGAAATAAAGAGAAGACTAGCTCCTGGATTTCCAAGTGAAGTCCCAAGTGGGTGGCCTCTGGGGCTCTCCATGATGACACAGGGGAAAGAAACTCCCGACTTACTATGTCTGGGACAAGTTCGTGTTCTCCAAAATCGAAGAATGAATTTTAGGAATCGCAGAGGTTAAGAGTAGAATCTACTTATTGAGAGAAAGAAAGCTTCTGTCTGAAGAGAGACAGAAGTCACCTGAGCGAGTTACCAAGGACTCTGTCTCTTTTAGGGACTTCTATAGAGTAAAACCATGGGTTCAAGGCAGGGGAGACTGGGCTGGGAACTTACAAGGCAGATGGGCATAAAGTGGGACATAACTGTAGTTAGCCAATAAGATCAATAGTTCAGGTAAAATTGATTACATTAGGGACAAATAAGAAAGCAAGTCACATAGGAAGTGGTCATTCTTAAGAGTTGTGACCTTTTCACAACTCTTAGGGGGATGGGATGGTGACACCAGGGTGATGGGGAACTAATTAGTATATCAATCTTTGGGATATGGACGCATTTGTTTGATCCTTTGCCTTGAGGCCTGGTCCACAGCACAAGGTGTCTGTCTCCCCTACAGTTATAAGGTATATGCACTGGCTCCTTTGAGCATCCAGCCCTGTCTCACTGCCTATATTTCTAACTAACTTGGCTGCCTGCAACAGTGAGGGGTAATTTATACAATACAACCACAACATGGGTCCAATGTGGGTCAAACCACTATAAGTAGCTGAGTTAGATAGAAATATTATAGGCAGTCAGAAAGGGCTGGGCCCTCAAAGGAACCAGTGCAGAAGACCAGATATCTAGCAACCACTTATCTTGTAACATTAGAGGAGACAGACACCTCCCACTGTGGGTCAGACCTCAAGACAAAAGATCAAACAAATGCACCCATATCAGAGACTGACATTCTAAATAGGTCTCTATCACCTTGAGGAATCCAGGTGTCACCATCCCAACCTCCTACTGGAAGAGTCACTGCTCTTTAAGCATATCTGCTTGCTATATAACTCATTTCCCCATTTGTCTGGCTTTAATCAATTTTATGTGAGCAATTAATCTTATTGGTTAGTCATAGTTCTGTCCCACCTCATGCCCACCTTGTGAGTTCCCGTGCTTTCTCCACATTAGACCTGCCTCACTTTGTTGTTTTACCCTATAAAGTTCCTGTAAAAGACAGTCTTTGGTAACCCATTCAGGACCCCTTCTGTCTCTCTCTCTCTCAGACAGAAGCTTTCTTTCTCCATGAATACATTCTGCTCTTAACCTTTGCTGTTCCTAAAATTCATTCTTCGATTTTAGAGAACACAAACACCTACTGGACATCTAATAGGTTGGAAGTTTCATTCTCCTGTATCAAAACTACAATCAATCTATGGGATATTAAGTATAGTTGCTTAGCTAGCACTGATCTAACAGGGAAGCCAGACACATAGCAAAGATATATGGTGAGCATCATTGACTTTAGCTTGTTCATTGTTGGGAGCCGCAGCCCCGAGCCCGGTCGCCTCACTTGGCGGACGTGAGGCCTGTAGTAAAGAGTAAAGCCTGAGGTAGATTACCCCTCCCATCGAGCACGTTAGTTTCCTGCTTACCGCGTAAGCAACCCGCTCAACAATATAGTCTGCCTGGCAACTGATGATGTTAGCCAATCAGCTTGCCTTGCTTACTTTAACATGATTGGACACTGTATCCGTATATATACTGGTGCCACCCCTGGGGGGGAAGGAGAAGCCCGGAAGTAGAAGCCCAGAAGGAGCCGCGGGGAGCGGACCAGAGGAGGCTTCGGCTGGGAGCGATCCCAGGGCAGGCTGTACGGAGAAGGAAAATAAAAGAAAAGGTTGTCCACTGCCAGGCTTTGTCGTGTGTCCTTCCTGCCGGCCGGGAGCGGACATCGACAGTTCATAACTTCTAATCATAGAAAGAACAAAAGCATTCCTGCAGAGGGTTGAGAGTCTGAGTCCGGGTCTGGGCCTGGCGATCCAGATGTTCTGGCCGTCCACCTATGTGTCCGATGCCTATCTGGGCCCATGGATCAGATGGTGCTAATTGTAATACAATCTCAAGTTGCTGTTTAACTGTAAAGGGGCTTGCATGCGACTTTCTCTAAGGAGGCCAGTTCTACAGGAGGCCGATTTCTGTGTATTAATTTTCATCTAACTTAGCTGTCTATAATATAACACTAAGTTCTGAATAAAACTAACATGTCATCAGCACTTTGCCACTGTGAAAATGCCCTGTATTCTATTTGGTTATGATGGAAATTGTCCCTGCTACACAAATGAAAGAACTGATTTATTTTCATGGAGTTCAAAGCCCCTTCTCTAAAACAGCAGCTAGAACAGAACTAGACATTAACATTAACAACAGCAAAAAAAACTTATTAACATATCCAAAAACTAGTCCACTTTGTCATCCCCCTCTTACACTTACAGATAAGAAAAGAAAAAAAATCCAGTTAAATTTGTCCCAGATCCACCAAAGGCCATTTCATAGAGGAACCAGAAATGCTTGGAGAGCCTTTCAAGAGAAAGGTTAGATAGGTGTAAGGAAGTGGCTCCCCGACTAATTAAATACTAGAAGTTCATTAACTCATTCCACAATCATTTACTTAGCTCTTACTAATATAGGAGAATGAAACTCCCGACCTACTATACATCCAGTTCGATTTCGTGTCCTCTAAAATCGAAGAATAAATTTTAGAAACAGTGGAGGTTAAGAGAGGAATATATTAAGGGAAAGAAAGCTTGTATCTGAGAGATAGAAGGGATCCTGAGTGGTTGCCAAAGACTCTGTCTTTTTTAGGGACTTTTATAGAGTAAAACCATGAGGTGAGATGGGTCCAAGGTGGGAAAAAATGGGAACTCTTGCAAGGTGGGCATAAGGTGGGACAGAACTGTGGTCAACCAATAAGATTAACTGCTCAGATAAAATTGATTAAATCAGGAACAAATGGAGGAGCGAGTCACCTAGTAAGCAGAGATCCTTAACAGCAGGGACTCTTCCTGTAGTGCGTAGGATGCTGACTCCTGACTCTCTTGGGGTGACAGAGAACTATTTGGACTGTCTATCTCTAGATGTGATTGTATTTGCTTTGCCTTTTGCCTTGATATCTGGCCCATAGCAAGAGGTATTTGTCCCTTCTCTGAACTTCTGCTCTGGCTCCTTTGAGGGCCCAGCCTGTCTGACTGCCTATAAGATTTCTAACTGATATCGCCTGTGCTGGGAATGGGATGGAAGGAGACAGGCAGAATCCCCAATCTTGCGAGTTCATAGAGATAATAAACATATACAATATGATAGACGGATGCAACAGGTATGCAGAAAATCAAGGGGAGGCAGTGTGGTTTTCTAAAGGGAAGCCAAAGAAAGCCTCTCTGAGGATCCAAACCTTGAGCACAGGAAGTGGCCCTTAAGTGTCCACGTGGCTGGGGGAGAGAGTTTAGTCTGAGGCACCACGTCTGCCAGGGTCCCGTGGATTACTCTCCTCTTCATGGAGCAGCCAGGCTGGTGAGACAGGAGTGGGGTGAGAGAGGGAACTGGCAGGCGGCCAGCAACGAGATCAGAGGGCATTTACTGGACAGGTGGTGCGGAGCCAAGTTTCTCAAGTGTCAGCCTGCCTAGGGATCCCCTGTACTCCTGGGTGCGGAACAGATAGCTGGCCACCCCCAGAGCTTCTGCTTTAATGAGGAGGGAGCTAGGGACCCCCATTTCTAACAAGTTCTCAGCTCATGCTGATGCTACTTACCTGGGGGGCCACTGTGTGACTCCTGCAAGTCCTGACAGACTAAATTACATTCCAGACATGACAAGAAACTACTGGGTGATTCCGACCAGAAGATGAAAGAAACCTGCCAGCAAGAGGAGGACACAGAAAGCAAAATGGAAAACAATTCCAATAGCTGAAGCAACAGGCAGTGATGACCTTGAATCAGGGTGGCTGAAGCAAAGGAGGAAATTGTCAAGTATATTTTGAAGGTGGGACTGACGCACTCGCTAATAGGTGAAAGGCAAAGAGAGCTCCAGAGACGCCTCCTTGTTTTGACTGAACTACTGAAGCACTAGAAAAGAAGGTAGGTTTAGGATTCAGTTTTACTTGAAAGCAGTGAATTGTTTTTGAGATTCCTATTAGCCATCCAAGTTGAGTAGCGAGCAGACAGACAGCTCACATATCTCAAGCTCACAGCGAATCTTAGGGCAGAGGTGTAGATGTGGAAGGCATCATTTCATAACTGCTGTGTACAATGAAGGGACCAGATAAGATCGTTGGAGGACAAGTGAGCCTAGAGGGCAGTGAAAATCCCAAGCCCGGCAGCACAAAAAGCAGACAGAGAAGTAGCAGCTTGTGAAACAGGAAACACTCAGGAGAATATGAAATTGTGAAAATCAGGAGATTGAAAAAAAGTTTCCTAATATGGAAGCGACAGGGCCTGGGGGTGCAGTAGCTCCGGCAGTAGCACTGGTGCCTGACCCCGGGGTTCAGTCTCCAGCACAAAAATAAACAAAGTGAAGCAAGTGAGCCAGTGCTGATGACAGTTACAGTCAGAAGAGGACTAATGAAGCTTATTTTCCAAGGCAAGTCACTCAGTGGGAGCCGCAAAGGTCCTAGAAAGAGACCGCCAATACGTTCACATGTTCATATGCTTGCTTGTATTTGTAAAGATAAAATATAAAACAGCTCTCTTTTCACCTTTACTTCCCCTCTGTCACATTTTTCATGTTAAGTGGCACTGAACTGCCTAACAGCATTTTTAGAATCTGGCTAAAGGTAATTCAAGTTGAAAACACCTCTACTTTGGGTTTAGCAGAGTGTGTTATATGGCTCAGGTCATTTTCATACATAATAGTTTACCCATTGTGCTGAAGAGTGGGGGTTCCCAGGGTGACTGCTACCACCCGGTGTGGTAACTCTGCTTACTATTGTGACAAAAATGTAGGACCTCTGGTCCTACATTACTGATGTGCACATGCCTAGCAATCAGGAAGACCTGTTAGGTACAAAAGAAGTGGGTTTGAAATACATAGAATGAAAAAGGAGATTGTCAAGAATATGCCTGACAATGCAGTCAGTACAATTATTAATACACACTTTTGTTTTTCCCATTTCTGTAGAAGACACATGATAGCATAGTTTGTCAAAGTTCCTGTGTTTGTTAGGTACAGATCTGTAGCACGAATACAAACAAAAAGGATATCTTTGTATAAACGTGTATGTTTTATGTGTCTCAATTGCCTACAATAATAACTAATTTTGGTCAACTATAGTAGAGAAGAAATTAAATTGTATTTGTCTTCCCTCTGTTTTACAGAGCTTTGTCACACAAAGAAACAAAGATGAGCCAGCCAAGAAATGTAAGGAAAAAGACATTTGGAGACATGAAAGTACTTAATATAAAATAAAATAATTATATTTTTGGCTTTTGTAGTCTGTGTACATTTATCAGCTTTTTCAAAATTTACAATCTGTTGTGACATTTTCATATTCCAGGTGTCTATTATTTTCATAGTTTGCACTCTCCCCACCATCAATAAAACTGTACTATAAAACCTACTGGCCTCAAGACTGTATGAATCTCCAAGTAGGGGAGGTGAAAGCCAAAATTAAATATATTAAAGACATAAGAGGAGAAAACAAAGAGGAAATAGCAAGCAGAATGGTCTTCCAGGTGGTCTCGAAGAATTAGAAGAGATGAGAGGTGGAGGAAGAGAGGTTAAAGAAGAAAACTTAAGTCAAAGGAAAAACGACTAGGACATGGTATCACTGCTCCTTGTCAATTGTGTGGGAGGCCTTGACTATCACATCTAGAATCTTCCATGATTGATAATACAGGAGTTGAGAGCTGGCAAAATAACCCCGACTACAAGTATCTAGAAAAACCTGAAAGTCAAGAGTCTCTCCGGTTGCCAGCCTTCCTTATACTTTGATCTTATTTAAGCATGAACTGAGTTCCTGAATCCACCTACAAAAACAACCAGGCCAAACCCAGAAATCCAGGGGAAACATAGCACATGTAGGGCTTGCCTGTTGGCCTTTTTATTTGTTTATTTATTTTTTAGACAAGGTCTCCCTATTTAGTTCAGGCTGGCCTGGAATTTGTGGCAATCCTCCTGTCTCAGTTTTCTGAGTGCTGGGACTACAGGCATGCATCACTCTGCCCAGCTAAGTATACACAGGGCTTTAGTGAGACTTTGGTCTGAACCAGGAAGAAGCAGCTGCCCTGACAAATGGCAAACCAGACCAGCAGTTGCATAAACAAAGGAAAGATTTCTCCAACAATTGCCATCCAGGTCCTCCGTGCAAAAATAGGATTCAAACTTGCAGAAAGGATCCACTCCTGCCTCAGTTTCTGAGATCAGTTGTAGGAGGCTCACTCATTGGTCAGCCTTGACTAGCAGGGTAACGCAAGTCTTGCTTGCTTGCAACTACTGTATTTTTAACTCTGAAATTGTGGGTGAGCCCTTGTTCCCCATTTGCATCTTTGTTTGCTTCTGTTGCAAAAATACAAAACAGTCAGGATCCTTGTGGGGCCCCTTTCCTAGCATTTGCTCCTTTTATTTCCTTTCAAGTGGTTCCCCACAGTCTCACACAAAGAGAGAAAGACAGGTTCAGGAATTTTAATCAGCTAAGGCATAGGTTTTAAAATTCGCTGCCATTGTTATTGTTGGGGACAGCTGTTTTTTGTTTTAGTAAGAGAACCTATTCAATGAAAATCCTAGAGAAACACCCAGTAATGTCAGAGACAAAGCAAGGTCCATTTTGCCTTATGTATTCCTGTTTTCCCAGTGAACCTACTGGCCCCTGAAGACTGAGAAAAATACACTTTGAGGAACATACATGTGTTACTGGAATTGGGCCGAACTCCCACAGAATAACATCCACTGCTAAAGCAAGAGAAAAAAAGGCAAATCAGAGTTAGCTGAGCTTTAGCTTGTTTCCCTGGAATCTAGACTCTGAACGGTTTTTCTCTTGCTGACTGAGAGTAGTTATCTCTATGCCAAAGCAAAGTTGCTGGTTAAGTAATCAAGAAAATAATTAATGGAGACAAACTCTTAAGAGAATTAAACTCCTGTTACTCCCCACCCCTCCACACCGCCCTCCATCAACCCTAAACTTATCTCTCTGATACAAGTTGACAGGTAATGATTAAATACCAACACCCTCCATGTACTTCTCTAGAAATACAGATTCCCTGTGCTTGCAGCCAGGCTCAATCATTTGTATGTTAATAACCAAACAACTCATCATCAGAGAGAAGAAAATGAAAATGCAGACCACCTAACTGTACCTTACACCTCCAGAATCAGATGCTGTGGATCTGAGGTCCCACAATGTGGAGAATGTTGCATTGAAGGTGATATAGGGGAATGAAACACCCAACTTACTAAATGTCCGGTGTGAGTTCGTGTTCTCTAAAATCAAAGAATGAATTTTAGGAACAATGGAGGTTAAGAGCAAAATAGGTTAATTGAAAGGAAGAAAGCTTCTGCCTGATAGAGACAGAAGGGGTCCCAAGTGGGTTGCCAAAGAGTCTTTTCTAGGACTTTTATAGTGTAAAAGCACAAAGTGAGGCAGGTCTAAGGTGAGGAAAACACGGAAACTCACAAGGCAGCCAGACATGAGGTGGGACAGAACTACAGCCAACCAGTAAGACTAATTGTTCAGGTAAAACTGACCAAATTGAAGACAATTTGGGAAACAAGTCATGTAGCAAGTGGGCATGCATGCTTAAAGAGCAGTGTCTCTTCCAGTAGGGTGTGGGATGGTGACTCCTGGCTTCTTCAAAGTGATCCGTAACTATCTAGAATATCAATCCCTGCTGTTTATACTTAGGGTGTGGGTGCATTTGTTTTGCCTTTTGTCTTAAGATCTGGCCCACAGCAGAGGTGTCTGTCTCCTCTGAGGTCACAAGATGTTTAGTCCTCTGTTCTGGCTCCCTTGAGGGACTAGCCCTGTCTGACTGCCTATAATATTTCTAACTGAGCTACCTATAAAAAAAGGAAAAGCAAGCAATTTATATTTGAAGATTTTAAAACTTCCCTCTTGGAACAAGTAGCTAGATAAACAGCAAGAATATAAGTACTTTACATGTATGCACCAACTCCACACAAGAAATGTCAACATTAAGTGCTGCAAACAGTACTAATAAAAACTTCTACCAATCAATCCAACCTCAGTGAAATGTATAGTACATTTCATCCAACAATATGCTTTTCAAGTGAATATGAAATGTTCACTAGGGTCAACTATATTTAAATTCAGTAAGTTTCAATAAACTGTAAAGACTTAAAACATAAAGAGTATATTCACTCAACAATAAGAAAAAGGTACTGCCAGAGTATTCTGGTGCAACAGAGAAGCAAAAAGTACAAAATGAACAGGTTTATTGAGTTGAGGACCTGGAAAGTGGCACACAGCCTATGGCAGCTGGGCTATCCCCTTCAATCAGATACAGAGAGACAGAGGGTTATATGATCTCTGGTAGGAAGTAGCACATGGGTGGATATTGGTGATGTGTGAGGAACTTAGTGGGATTCTCTGTGCCTGCAAACAGAAAGAGGAGTTACAATTACGGCTGAAGAAGAAGCAGGAAGTGGTAAGCGTCCCACTTAGGCCTTCTGCCATGCTAGACTCCCGCCATAACTGCATCATAATTTATACTGAGGCAAGAACCTTTTAGGTACTAGAAAATATCCAAGTAGTAGACAGACATTAAGGAATGTACTTCTAAATAGCACACGGGTGAAAGAAGAAATCACAAGGGAAATTACAAAATAGTTAAAACAATGTAAATTAAAGCACAGTATTAAAATTTGTGGGATATAGCTAAAGCAATTGCTTAGAGATATTTAAATCATTAAGACTTAAATTAGGAAAGAACAGCCTCTTGTTAGTGAAAGGGTTTTGGCCCAGATAGGACACTGTAGCCAGGAAAACCTCAACTGGAAGTAGAAAGCCCCATCTCCCCTGCCCCTAGGAAGTTACCTGTGAAGCCATCTTCCCGATCCTGGAAATTTACATATGGCACCAAACCTAGGACCAATGGGCTACCTGTGTATCCCTAATGCCCTCCTTAGGTTCCACCCCAAACAGAGGCTATTTACAGGCCCCCACGCCACATGTCCGCCGGAGAGATCGCCGGACGCCAGCGGTGGGGGTGCCGGTCATCTCTCTCCGTGTTCTCAGAATAAAGGCCGCTTTTTATTTTATATTTCTCATCTTTTGTTAATATTTTTCATCTTTTGGAAATAACCCTAGCAGTTAGCGTTTTCCAGCACAATAGAGAAGCAAAAGGAAAGAAAAAGTGGCCTTTACTGAGGATGTGGAGAGGGAGGCGCACACCACATGGTGGCTAGAAATCCTCTGACCAGAGGCAGTCTGGGACAGGCGCTGATGCTGTAGGAGGCACTGATTGGAATTCTCTTTGCCTTCAGGAAAGGAAAAAAGTTGTAATCATGGGTGAAAGGTGTTATAGATTATACATTCCTTTGCCCCCCTCCCAGACCTCTTGCAATATAGATGCTGTAGAATCCAGTGTTTAGATTGGTTTGTTGTCTAGCGCTGGGATTGGCGATGTGAGTGTTCCACCTGCCTAAGAGTGGAGCAACAATATGATGGAAGGGCAGGAAGAAAGAGTGTCTCTCTTTTTTGCTGTTTGCAGCCAGCCATGAACAGCAGCCCCACCGTGCCACCCTGTGGCTTGGAGCCAGCTGAGCATGGAGTGAAACCTCCAACCTGTAAGAAATAAACCTTCCTTCCCTGACTTTGGGTTTCAGGTGTTTTGTCTCAACAATGACTAAAAAGTAACTAAAACAAAGGGGGAGGAGGAGGAAGTGGCTGTCAGGGTAAGTGTTGCTTTTGCTTTGGCCTTCTGCCATGTTAGACCACACCATAGCGTCCAGTAATTTATACTAGGGCAGAAACCTTTCACTATAAGCAATGATCTAGTCAGTCAACTTAACTGGAAAAAAATTAGGTCAAAATTGCATTGCTTAGAAATTACAAGAATAGGAGCAAAACTCAAAGAAATAGTGGACAAAGAGGAACAGAATGAAAAGAAAAATACAGAAAAAAAGGGGGAGGGAAGGGAAAGGAGAAAAGAAAGGAAATCAGATTACACAAGAGCTCCTTGTTGGAAAAGACTGATAACATTAGAGCTCATAACCTGACTGCTAGGGGGAAAGGCATAGGCTGACTATGCAATATAAAAGTGTGTGGGAGCAGAAGGGTTTCAAATATCAGGGTTTTTCAGAATTTGGGATTTTTGAATAGGCTTCACTGGTTGAGCATCCCTCACAATCTTCACAAACTTCACAATCTGAAATGCTAAAGTCCCACATGGGCAGCTCACAGCCTGCAGTCTTTTGACACTCCTTTTAGCCTCAAGCCATAGTCAGTTTCTTTCTTTCTTTTGTTTGTTTGTTTGA